ATCAGCAGTAAAATCAATATTTTTCTTACTGTGCCCTGAAATAACCATTTTTCCAAGTGTAGGATCATGAATGAAATCTCTGACTTCATTTATTGCTATGTATAATATAAAATTGTACTCAGTGTCCAATAGTATAGAAATTCTAATAGAGTTACAAAGCCTAGGCTGGTGAAACACTGTAAGTATAATAGCATTCTCTGGTATAGAAAAAGTTGCAAAGGTTGTTTTTACCATCCAGAAAAACACTTGAAAATTGGACCTCGGTACATCTCTATAATGAACAATTATAAATACCACATATGTATGGTTTGACAAAAATTTGGCAGTGTTTTTTTTTGAAGTATAGCTGTATTTATAAAAAGAAACACAAATCTAGACCACTTCTTCCCTTTCAATCTAATATTATCAGTAGTTTACAAAAGAACTTTTTAGTACTGCAATTAAGCAAAAGAAGAAAACATTTGAAAGTAAATCTGCTTACACCACATTCTGTTTCATTAATTTCCTAAAACTTTTGATGAATGGGTTTTGGACGATTAGATATCCGTAGCTTTCATAGTGTTAAGCATAGTTTACTGTGTTATTTAATTCATGCCATTAACCTGTGATACAAACTTGAAAAATTCCATTTCACTTGATGAACAGGAAAACAGTCTTCCTCTGTTTTCTGACCAACACAGACATGAAACCCAAGTCAACGTAAATAAGTCCTCCCAGCGTTGATGTTTCTTCCAGCCTCAACTGTCCTTCTCTTAATGAAAGAAGTTGTTCCCCAACAAGAGGAATGCAGGCTCCCTGCAGGATGTTAAAGCAGGTTTCCTCCTCTAACTATATCGTGTGACACTAGGGTGGATCAATTAATGAGTTTTCAAAGAGAAGCAAGGTTGCTGAGTGGGCCTCAGTCAGTGTTTTTCCCCAACTGCAGGTGGGAAGTGGCTGAGGTAGGAGAGAAAGAAGAGGCTGGATTCCCTCCTCTACTGGGAATCTCAGAAATCATGTGATAAAGCCCTGTATTTTGATGAGTATGGTCTTTCCTGGACCTTGAAGCAGGACTCGAGGAAAGAATAACATGTAATTATGCAATTCAGATTGTTATTGGTAATGGTAGAGGTATAGAAACGTCTACCTAAATAAAACCACATTATCCCAAATGGGAGTATTTTATACATTGAGACCCACAGCCTTCTTGTGAGGATGGTGTCCAAAGGAGTGAAGTAGCAGTCCTCACTGCAACGTGTGTAAAGTCCAGATCCCCCTTCCACTCCCTCCCCTCCAAATTTGTATCTGCCGACACTTCATTGGCTTTGGCCAAAACAGACACAACGCAAGGGCGAAGGAGGGAAGAGGACATCGGTGATGCGGCTGTTCTTGTTTGTTGGATGGTAGATTTTTTAACAAGAAGCCTGGTAAATTTTTAACAAGCATACCTGGTAGGGCCTGTTCTGCCAGCCAGTAAAAGGCCATTGGGCTGTCATGGTTTCTCTTCACCAAAGAAATAAGATTTGAAATGAGATAGCAGAGGGGTAGAGTACTCCATGTACGGGCAGACATCAGGTGATCTTTTGTCACCTGCTGCCATCAGGTCTGAAGCTTCTTCATAGTGAATGGGCACCATCTCAAAGTTGTTCTTTTCAGAAGAAGAGAATGTCTTTAGAGGAATGACACTGGAATTCAATTATTATTTAAAATACACATTTTCTGTCCTTTGTGTAGCATATGAGAAAAGGGATTCTGAAAATGAGAAACCGAAGAGATTTAGAACAAAATAAGCTCCCTCTGAATTAAGGAATGAACTTTCATTATTCAATAAAAATTTGAAAAGACAGAGAAACTTATCAGACTAAATTAAATGAGGAGCTCACAGCATTGTAGATGACTCATCGTAATTCAAAAAATTTATAACAGTATAGAGGAAAACAGAGAGCAGATGGTGCAAAGAATCCTCAGTACAAAACAGAGATCAGCGCTGAGCTCAAGGGCCAGAAGCCATCCTTCAGCCTAGTAGCAATGGCAAGAAAATGCTGCCATTAAAGTGATTAAAAGCCATGCTGTGCTTCTAAGCATTTTTTTTTCCAAATGGTTTCATTGGGTAACCAAATTAGAGCTCTCCTGCAGCTACTGGATTTGAAACAACTAATTAAAAGAACTTCCCATTGATTCATCATAGGAACATTAGAGCAGTCTTTATAAAAGGGCAAATAGGATTTACCCATCTTACAATTTTCCGGTTAAAAAGAGCTTTAACAGTAAATGGATAGGATCTTTAGGGTCTAAGTAACTTCTGCTCTAGTGAGCAACTGTTGTAAAAGCTGAAATTTCTCCATAGAAAGTATTGCTTTTAGTCACACTTGACAACTAAAGAAATAGAAACTGAGCTAGCTGCAGCTTTTAATTACTTGCTTTTATTTACCTGTTTCTTTGTACAATAAATTCCTGACTGGAATCCTTTTCCTAAAAGTCATTATTTCCTCTGAGATGTCAATAGATAACCTCTGTATGACAAATATAGGATCATCCTTCTGAACATAGAAGAAACAGTCAATGGTGGCTCTTTTGTGGCTTTGCGTTAAAAAGTTCACTCTGTGTTTTGATTTAGAGGGTGCAGTGCTGGCACGGTGCTAGAGGTGTGATGTGAGCCTTGCTGTACGGGGTTTTCATTTTCAAGGGTACGTCAAGCACAGCTAGTTTAGGAGAGGGCTAAAGTAATTTTCTTCCATGAATTTGCTACTGAGTTGTTTCCCAGGATGAAAACTCGGGCTATTTCTTATGCTGAACTTTTCAGAGGATCTTTTGGTGCACCAGGACTGTGTTTGGACACGCGCTTTCACAAATGGAAGAGTTTCTGTGGTGAGCTTAGGCTGGAAACATCCATAAATTACTGTATAAATTTTTGAAATCGGAGAAAAATGCATGGCATGCAGTACACATAAAAAGCTTATAAAGGTTAGGTCATAACTTGAAGTGTAATAGCAGTAATCTATATTTTAAAAGCCTAGAAGGGCCAAGAGTATAATAATGTCTACAGTTTAACCTGGTGTTTTCTGTAATCAACCTCAGTCATTTTGGAAGGATTTGATTGTCTGACCAGTGCACTCCCAAATGCAGTGAGGTGAAGCCATGATGTGCTGGGGAAGGTGGCCCAGGTGATGTCTGTCACCCGTGAGCAGACGGACAGGGTGTACCAGACGTATCTGAAAGGTTACTGTGAGTCCCTTGGAGCCGCCTGTAAATCGCAGCTCCGTACCAGTGAGTGACTCAAACCGACAGATAGTAAAATAACGTATATGAGCAATGCCCTCGTAGGCCCTTGATCAGTGTTCAGCAATTACAAATCCATGTTTGCTCCTGCTTTCCTTTAAACAGCCCTATCTTTGTTCCCTGCTTGGAGTAGCTGATTTTGCCCCAGAGAAATAATACGAGAGCTCAGCTTCACCCTCAATTTCAAGAGTAAAAATTTCATTTTAACTGAGGGAGTAATGATAGATACCCAGGGATAACATTTTGGCCCAGAACGTATGAATGCCTTTTATTTATTTATTTATTTGTATTTTGTTCTCCTCAGTCACTTACATTATACCGTTTAAGGACTTCCTGAAAAAATAGGTTATTCCTTCATGCAGCATGGCAAGAATTCTTTTTTTCTCTCATTCCCTTGCGTCAGACCTGCAGTTAAAATGGCGTAAGTACAGGTGTAGGACAGTTTTCTGTGTAAGCTCCATTTTGTCCACTTAAATAGTTTTGGTAGATTTTTTTCATTTAGAGTTACATGTTGGGTTGGGTTTTCTTCCCATCGGAGAGGACTGGACTATTATACCACAGAATAGTTATCCACAGGGAGGACTGACAGCGGATGGAAGTTTATTTTCTCTCTCAGGTAAATGCACTGTCACAGAGAAAGAGATTGTTATGTGCGTGTTTGGATGTAGAGTTTCCCTTTTTTCAAAGGAAAACAATTGGTTTTGTTTTCTTTAGTGTTTGCTTGCATTCTAGAATTGATTTGTGGTTTTCATTTCTTAAACTTCCTGAAATATTTACAGGAAAGAAAACTAAGGCGTCAATTTTGTGACTGGAAGCGGAATCTTCTTTCATTTTCCTAGGGAGACTCTTTCAGTCGAAAGATAAAAACTGAAGTCATAAAAATGTGTTATTTTTAGGAGACAGCTCCTTGGAAGCTTAGAAGAGGTTAAGTAAGATTGGTAATAGAGAGGAATGGGGGAGGGTGTGTAATAAACTGGTATTTGCTAGTGGAAAGACAAATAGTGAAAGCTGTGAACCACTGGAAGAACTGGGGTTTTTTTGATGGTACCTGGTTGGTTCAGCTTACTCAGTTGTCTTCAAGACTGTTGAACAACATGACTGGTTTTGTTGTAACATTTGGGAAAGCTGCACATCAATGCTATTGAAACAGCATTAGCATCTGGAGAACCTCCTTTGACATGCTTGACCAGGTTAATAAGATAAGCAAAGATCGTTTTCTATAATGCAGTTTTTGCACTGTTTGAAATTATTGCGTAGATAACAGCACACCTTCTTTTCCAAAAGGGCAGAAAATCCATTTCTTAAAATTAGTTAACCCCATAGTGAGATAACTTAACTCTTGGGTGCATCCATTCATCTTGGGCCCCTTCCAAAAGCTACTAAAAGTGGTTCCTACTTGCTACGCTGCAGGAGACCTGCAGTATCAATGACAGCAGGTAGGTTTGGGGGGACCTTTGCCCCCACGGTTTGCCCGTAACCCCAATCCCTGCCACTGGCCTCCTCTAACGAGCTGACTCTTCTGTGCACACACCTACCTCACCGATGGGCTGAAATGCCCTTGCTGCTGCCAGCCCAACAAGCAGAAATAGGATTCATTGCCTCTGTTTTAAGCTGTATCGCTTTATTTTACCCCGAAGAGTAAACTGAATGTACATTTTACGCAGTTGAATTGTAACATTTAATGAAGATGAACCTGAATGTGGCATTTACTGTCTCTGGAATGTGGTTCTGCTCTGGACACGATGTCCTCGGAGCCAGCAGTGCAACCTGGTTGCGCGCAGCCGGCGATGGCGTCTGGCACAGGCACTTTTTTCTATATTTTTGTAGATTTTTCAGAAGCTGGTCAGCACTGTTAACGAAGGACTTACTAGTATGTACTTGAGACATTAATTTCAGATTATATGGTTTCCCTGAGAATTGCCATCTGTCATGCTTTTCTGTCTGGAGGTCACTCCAAGTTACCTCGGGTTGGTGGCCTAAGACAGTAGGTTGAAAGGATAAACCGTGTGCTTCGTCTTTAACCCTTAGTTATCCTTTTCCCTTTCAGCACCCTCCTTGATAGGTATGGTAAGGAAGGACTGGGCTTCCCAAAACAGCATTGCCCTCTCTTGGCAAGAGCCGGACTTTCCCCATGGAGCAATTCTGGACTACGAGATCAAGTACTATGAGAAAGTAGGTCTCACTTACAGCATCACCCAAACTCAGATCCTAAAGAGCAATATGTTTCGTATTTTTATTATTTTTTTTTAAAAAATACTTTAAACTTTTCACTTGATCCCACGTACAATGCTATATAAGTAGACGTTTTCTTTTATACTGATTTTTTTGTTGTTTTACTTCTAACTTGTTAATGACTGTCTTGTTTCACATCAGAATCAAGTAGAGCAGCAAGCAGGCAGTAGATATAACTGTCTCGTAGTAACTACATTGACGAACGTGGATAAATGGATCATGTGCTTGAACATATTTTGATTTATGGACTGTAAAAACTTTACATTAGAGTGACACTGGAACAATACAATTAAGGTGAATGTCAATGTGATTTCGTTTTGCGGCATTATTTGGAAATAATCTGACCTTAAATGATAGAGTGCACCAGCTTTGTTTAGAAGGTTGCAAAAGGTTACAAGAGAGAGAAACTGCACGGCGTTCATGTCAGATTTCTGGCGTTCTGACAAAATTAGGTGGTTTCACACAAAAAAGGGCAACAGCATGCATTACAAGTAAAGGTGCAAGGTGCACACACGGCATGTCTTGGGAAAGCACAATTTGAAGCTTGCTTCTCCCAAAGCATAAAACACATTTTGACATTTCCAGTTGGCTACAGGGCCTTGTACCAGTGTAAAATTTAGTGCTAGTCAATGCCTTCGTTCCTAAAAACATAGACAGGAAATTTTTAGTGTCCATACCTTAAACAGTTGCCTGCTAAGTCAGTTCTTGCTGTTTCTCTGTCCCCATCTGAACGTCACAATGGAATTGATGGATATGTGAGAAGACCACAAAGAACAGAAATATAAACCAAGTCATGAAAGAAAGATTTAGGGATCTTAGGCTCTGTAAATATTGGAGAATTTTCTTCCTTGGCTGCACTTCTCTATTGAGATTATACAGCTTGATGCAGAATGAAAGGGTAAGCTAGGAAAAAAATCCAAACAATTTTAATAGCACAGCTAGAAGGAGGAGACAGATTGCTTGGGATATTTGGTAGCCAAAGCAAGGAAACCTCACTTTCGTATTCTAATGGAAGTCGTTCAGGTTTTGATCCGTTAACCATAGAGCGCCACATTATGATTTGCATTGCATTTGTCTTGTTTGTTGATATTAAAATAATAACCAGGTGTATTAAACGAGAGAAATAGTGAGATTTTATTTAATAGAATAGGAACAAATTTCAAAGATCCAAAACCATTCATATGGATGTTACATTATAAAGCTTATATTTATAAAAATCCTTTATGAATTGATTATCTGCCAGTATCTGTCAATACTGAGTGACATGGCAAATAGCTTTCCTTAGGGGTCCACATATTACTTAGTCTTGTCCGTTGTGCAGCAAGACAACATACGCAGGCTTCGCGGCCCTTTGGTATGTACAGTTTAAACCAGTCCAATCTGTTTCTACCAAAAAGGAACCATTTTCTGTTTTCACCTTTTACAATGCATAAGGAGTATCTTCTAACTATAAATTTCTCTCCCCTCTTAGGTTTGGGAAGATAAATACGCTGCTGGCATCTTCCAGTACTGTTGCTCAGGCGTTATTTTCTTCCTAAATCACTAACTGAACTAAATGCTTGGCTCTTGCATACACCTTTTGTTAGTAAGTTAGAACCGGGATGCTCTCTGGCAATGCTCTGTAACAGGCAGAATGAGAGACAAACAAGCCAGCAGTAGCAGTAAGAAAATCCCTTCTTTAAGCGGAGGAATAGGTATGTGACAGATTTTCAAGAACTCTCTTGGAGCCTACATTCTGGAGCAGAGAGATGAATAGTCTAGTACTGCAAGTCAGTCTGCTGATTTGCAGTATTAAATTAGAAAATAGGATTTTATACCAGTTTAATTATATTTAAATAGTGCTGAAGAAACGTACGTTGTAACTGTAACACTGGGTAAGTATAGTGGCCAAATGCACATGGGATTTGGATATAGAAAAAAAAGAGTGACAGTTCCTACCTCAAAGCCAGAAAATATTAATGTGCACAATTAATTCAATTATTAACAGTTTCAATTAATTCATCCTTCCTTACCTTGGAACTCTGTGTATTAAATAGCATAGTTTGTGTACTGTCAGGGGTAGATATAGCAAGTGAAACTGTAATCTTTTAGCCTTCCCAGTATCCCTCAAAGGGGGGAAATACCTGCATTCATGTTCTCAGCAGCAGTGACAAAATAGCGATGGTGTTGCGTACCCACAAGAAATGTGATAAATGTGAAATAGTCGTCTACTGGATTTAGTATGAATTTATCACAAAGGCATCCCTTTACGGGAGAGTAAAAAATGCAGCTAAAGTTCAAGAACATGTTAAGTATGAAAAGCTTGGAAATATTATTAACGCCTTAAGGAGTCAAGAAAAATGCAGAAAACAGTAGTCTTAGATACTAATAAACACACTAATTAGTAAAATGGAACAGCTTTTGCGGTCCTGTCCTTATCCCTTTTTACCTGTTATTTGTGTTTTAAAAAGAAAATAGGTTTTTTTCTCATATACAATATAAGAAATTGAATGTCTCCATCAAATACAAACACTCAATCCCCCAAATTCAACCAGTTGTATCGGTTTCTTAACTTTGAGAAACTCTGAACAATACTGCAGGATTTTAAAGTTTTACAATATGAACTGCTATTTCTTATAAGATTCCTTGTTGGCATTTGCAAAATTGTCAAGATGACATCGGGGAGCACATTAGGGGAGCATGCTTGCTTTTAATTATAACCAGCAGAAATTCTGCGGCTCATGAATGGAAGTCATATCTTGTCATGTGCTCCCCAGGTTTCATTAAAGATACGTAAACTTACAGAAATCAAATAACTGTCTAATAAACTACTGTGAGCACTCCACAAAATGGGGCAGTTCCCAACAATTTTGTAAGAAAGACAAATCAGTGACGGTGAACCCAGAACATAGAGATGCATCTTTCCATGCATATCCAGAACAAGCAGAAGGGAATGAAGCTAGACCATGCTGAATATGTAAGAAACTTGTATTTACACTCTTGTGCAATACAAATTGCACACAGAGAACTAGCAAAAGATCATGCCCTCCCTGTGAAGAATATTCACATCTCCTGAGAAAGATTTTACCAAATAATCAAGAAATAAAGTAGAGAAGGAAAGTTATACAAGGCTATCAATAATCTACAAGTATGGAACACATACATTAATTTCAAAATACAATAAAGCAGCTCAGTAATTTGTCTGCTTTAAAGCACTTTCTTCCGTATGACCTTCATTTCTTCAGCGAATTGCTGCAAAATACTCAGAATCATAAATTAACAAAATATTGTTTGGCTTTCTAGCCACCTCTAAAAACGAAAATCTTGAGAAAATAACAAAACTTCATTGCAAGCCAATTCTATATGGATTGTACAGGTTTTTAGTTTCTTATTTAGGAATACAGTGGTACATATTTGTGTGGTTGGCTGACAAGAGGTCACTTTGTTCTGCAGCTTTTCAGCCAAAAATGCCTTGAACATAAGCTGACTTAGGACATCATTAGAGAGCTGACTTGGCCTGTGAGGAGAACAAAAATTCCTAGACGTTCAGTCCAAGATGCTATGAGGTTTTGCTACGGTAAAGAGAAAAGGTTTTCCATTGCTTGAATAGTTATGTGACCTAACGTGGTACTGAGTACCATGGTCTAGTTGACATGGGGTTGTTGGGGCAAAGGCTGGACTCGATGATCCCAGAGGTCTCTTCCAACCAAATCCATTCTGTGATTCTGTAACCAGAGAGAGAATATCATGATCCTGAAATAATACTGTATGTTGAGGGAGTTGAAATATCTTATTTCTGGTAGATTATGAATCATTCTGAAAACTGTACAGTTAGCAACATTTGTCACTTTAGACAGTAAGTGAGTCTTTACAGCAACACACAAAGAATCCTTTAAATGTTTGACCTTAGAGATCTAAGATGTGCTCTGAAAAGCATTTCTTCATAGACCTTCTTTGGAGTCTTCATAGATACTAAACATTTGTGAATTATCTTTGTTGATACAGGATGTCTGCCCTATTCTGCAGTTATCTGTCCATTCTACTTTATAATCCTTTAATATTTTCCACAAAAAACCCAGTACTTTTAAAAAAAAAAGATCTGTCATAGGCAGCATTGTCTTTCCCTTTAAAAACCAAAGTCCAGATATCAATATCATCTCCGTTTCCTTGCTAATAGTAATCACCTTTTCTTTTATACTTTATTACTCAGACACTGACCAAAGTTTATACTTTTTGAAAGATTCCAGGGCATCGTAATCTAGTTGCCTCTCGCCAAAAAGGTCGCATGTTCGAGTCAGGTGGAGGAGTGGGATAAGGTACGGCCTTGTTACAGCCTTGTAACGACGCCGAGTCCTCCTGTAGGAATTCCCTCATGGGAAAGGAAGCACAGGACGTAGTGGGTATGAACCACACCAGCTGCACTTCAGGTTGTGCAGCTTAAGTGGAAAACGCTTATTCCTCCCCTTTTCCCCCCAAACCCTGAAGGTTAATCATCAAAAATGAATGCTCCCTGAGATCTGTATTAAGCATAGCAAGCTGTATACACATCAGCAACTGTATTAAGTTTATTCTCCCATATTGCCCAAATACACCAGCTGGATTACATTTTCTGTTACGCACAAGATAATATATAATTAGCTGAGGAAGCCTGTCTATAGAGGAGAGATTTTGATGGGATGTACCCAAGCAATATGCCGAGGCATTGCAATGGTGTCTCCAAATAGCGAATATCTCTTGAAGCAGGATGTAGGATGGAGGGGCTGGCTGATGTTTCTTCACTTTCTTGTCTTTGGATGAAGTTTACACTAAAACCAAATCCCTTTGACAAAATACCTCCTTTTGCTGGCAGACTCAATTTGCAAGTCACAGGCAGTTTTCACATCAAAATTTTAACCCATTTCCATGTGACAGTGAGTGGACATGATATGTAGGATGCCAGATATGACTTTTTCCTCCATTCC